AATGCCAAAAGGAACATCCAGAGTTTTTAGACGTCATTTATCTGTTGCTCCAAAATATGCCCATTTCTCTCTGCAGACAGATGTATGTAAGTTTGCATTCTAGCCCACTTTGATAAACCTACTCATGATTCCCACACATTTTTGACTCTCAGGCTTCATTTCCATTATTCATCATAACTGAAAGAGTTTAGGCTGATCCATTCTGGGGCAATCTTTTGGCCGAGCCACAGGAGTTCTTTAGAAAAATCCCCTCTGTTCCATTTTCAGCCATTAATCTTTACTGGACATGGGGGGGATGTAATGAGAGTCATCTCCCCATAAAGAATAGCGTTGTCTGCCCAGTGACACGGCCTGCCTGCCCACCGGAGGCGGCAGCAATGCAGTGTCACGTTTCAAAGACTACAGGAGAGAGCGGGAATGGCGATAGACGGAACTAATGCATTCTGAATGAGAAGAAGCGCCTCTATTACTTCGACGGGATGAGTGGAAAGACGTACCGCACGCTCGGAAAGAGTAGAACTCAGAAAGCCATTTTTAACGCTGTGGGAGAAAGCAGCATGAAACGGTGGCAGAAGTCTTATACAATTCTGCTTGTAAAGTGAAAAAATTGCATTAGCACAAACCTTTGATTAAGATTTAAATTCAAAGGTGAGAGACGCGAGAGCTCTGATCCCTTCACAACTAAAAGCTTTTGGGGCTGGATAAATTTTGGGCATACAGAACAAGCTTGCAATCAATATCCAGTCCACTCCCCACTGAACATTTCCAGCATCCTGTAATAAATTTAGGATAATAAGAAAATGCAAAACTCCACACTTTTAATACGTCAGAGGTAACTCAGAGATTGTTACCAGTGGTTGGGGTATCCTTGATAGCAGCAGATTAGTTGAAGACAGCTCCCAGGCACTTTGAGAAACCTCACTGATGCTATCAGCTCAGCGTAGGTTCAAGAACTCACAAAACAATCGTAATTTTCTATATCTAAGACCATTTTGCTCATCTTTTATGATCTACTTGATTGGCTTTTCAAGCTCTATCTTAAAATAATGCAGGTTCTTTGTAGGAATTTGGAAGATCCCTTCTGAACTTCACTTTTTGTAGAGTTGGAAATCTTTCAAATTTGAAACTATGATTACTTGTGACCCAATTCACAGGCCTGTGATCACGTGCTGGCATTACCATTTTCTGCCTTCTCTCTTATTTACATTCTGTATGAGACAAGAATCTTTTTCCTCAGCCACTTCATTGCTAAGCAAAACAAGTGAACCTTTTCTTTGTATGACAGATACTCAGTGGTCTAAACATCCAAATAGGTTTTCTCTACATCAGTTCTGATTTAACCTCATCTCTATTTAACACAGACGATGTGTGCTTTGCACAGAATTCCAGAGGAGCTCCTCCCCAACGGGACTAACGCTTCTGGAGCTCTTCTAAAAATATTCTGCCACATCTGTTCTAGAACTGTGTAAGTCTTGTCACAAAGCCACCTTCCTCGCTTTTATACTTGCATTTTCTAGTCTTCAGGATTTCCAGTTGATCAGTTCTGTGTTTACACCCAAAATGACGCATTGTTTTAAACAGGCAGGAGGCAGGACTGCGACATTTTATCCTGTTCATATTACCTGTGCCAACAAAGTAATCTTACCCTTCCCCAATGAGTGAGTCCTTGGCAATATTCAAACCTCCTAACTTTGTGGTGCCCACAAATTTTAGGAGTGCACACCTAATTCTTGCTCTTAGGACACTAATAAACATACTGGTGGTTCATCTAATCACCAGGAGACACAACTAGACTCTTTGCTCCTCTCAGATAACACCACCAGTAATATACCCTGTTGTTATCTCGATTTATCCAGCTTCTTAACCAGCTTGAGAGTGTTTAACTACTTTCCATCATTTCCCCTTAGGTAGGAGTTTCCCGTGAGGACTTGCAATAACCATTTTATCTAAAGATCTATATTGTTCTAGATAATTTATATATTTGTCTAGTATATTTATCTAAATATACTAGATCTGACATACCATCCTTGCCTAGGAAGCTGAAAAATCTAAACAATCCCCAAAAGTAATTATTTTAACCACAGCTAATCCCATTGTAATTTCTCCCATTTTTAATTTTCTCATGCGCTTTTAATCACTGTTCTAAAGGTGCATAGTGCTGAAATCAAACTATCCCCCACGAAATCACCTCATATGCTTTTTCTGCTTCTTGTTGGGCATATTTGCCCAGTCCATCATTGCGTATTCCTGTCATCTGGTGCCATTTCCACATCATACATATTTAAAATCTTTTCTAGTTGTACTTCCATCTGCCAGTGTCTTCAGTACTCTAGAATGAAGAAAATATAGACCAAATAATTTCTTCACGCTAAGCTATGTACATTTGACTTCCTTTGCAAATGATGTAAATCCCACTGATTTATCGTCATTCTCCTTAGCTCCTTTCAATATCTTCAGGTACATCAACTTCCTTGAAATTGGGGAGAGAGCATTTACTCAGCAACAGGTAAGTGATACCTCTAGAATAAAGTAGGCATGCTCAGCTTACCTTCACATCACTGCCATGGCCGCACTTCCTTTTATTTCTTTTTCGTTCCAGTAGTTTAAAAATAAAAAGGCTTTGTTTTACTTTTCTGAGCAAGGTGCAGTTCAACAAGGCCTTTATCCATTATTCCTGTGCTTCTACTTTTTAGAATGCCTGGAAATAAGTTCTCCTTGATAATCAAGGCCTCTTCTCATATTTTGGGGGTTGTGCTTTTTCTTAGTCTCTGGAGAGACTCTAGCCCTTTCCCATGCTTTCTCCCTCCTGTCCAGCACGCACAGACTATTTCCATTCGTAACATAAACCCATCTTTTCCTACATTCAGATCATTAAGTTCCTCAGGCCAGTCATCTTCATTCACTGATCTTTCTATTTCCTAGAAGTTTGCCATTCTAAAATACCAAGCCTTAGCTATAGCTTTATTTTTGTCCATCTTGCAGTTTAGGAAGAACCAAACCCATTCATTATCGCATTAGTTCTTGGTCAGCTGTTCTACAAGATCGTCCTCACACAAAAAAAACCAAAACCTAAGCTTAAAATAGCACACGCTTTGTTGTTTTATGAATTTGTGAACCAAAAAGTCAGTCTTCTGAAATGTCTGAAAAAACTTGCTATTATCTACGGCATTTGTGTCTGTGTCTGGAAAATTCAAGTCTCCTGTGCTCTTACAAGTTCCCTTCTTATTTATTTCTTTATCTATTTATAGAGATGAATACCCTCTTCCAAATCTCAGCTTGTCAGACTATAATATCCCCTTCTCCACAAATACTGTCCGAATTGTGCCTCTTTTACCATCTTGCAGTAATTTTCATTTTAACAGATTATGGTTTATTCATGCCATCACATTTGAAGAAGAATAAATACAATTTGCCTGGTTTACTTTGCTACAACTTCAGATTTCCTGACTTTTATGTATTTTAAGTTGCATCCACATGGGTCTGTACATAAAATTTCCCTCTTTTCCTTTTCGATTGAAGAAATCCCAAGGAGAAACAGCATCAGCTTCCCCACCCTTTCACAAAATGATTATAAATGTACCTGTTCATATTACATTAACTTAGCGGCATTTGGTTTGGTTTTCATTTAGCAATATACACTAGTTAGGAATAGTTCTTTTCTATACCAATAAGGCTTTCGACTAGACACTGTCCATCCACTGGAACGAGGTATAGGTGGTGCTGAAAGCGTGATTAGATTCTCATCAATGAACATCATTTGCAATGCACAGAAAATGTGCAGTATTCAACAAAACCCAAAAAAGACCAGAAATTTGAACTGTAGGGAACACCACTGGGTGTAGAGATTTACCTCCCGTCCACATTGTTGACGTGTAAACATGCTGTCAAATGCAGCTTCAACCCAAATTCTAGAGTCCCGTGGGGGAAAATTGCCCCAAAATCTCTGGCCACCATCTCTCTTGGCCATTGATCTTAGGGTCTGCTCGGAGAGGACAGGCAAGGAAGGAATTACAGTGTGGTCCCTCAGCAAATATGCCAAGGTCAACTCTCTCTAAACATCACTGGAGCTTAAGTTACAGTTCAACAGAAAGTTTGCAGGTTGCCATTCTCAGCAGTAGAGAGTTGATATCACGCACTCAAGTAGGAACATCACCATTAAAATGCCCAGATGTACTCTGAAGCGTTAAGTCCTCTTGTGACCATTCTTATAAATTATAACCAAAAGACCAGTATATCGACTCATTTTATTTCCTATCTGAAGAAGCCAGGGAACATAACCTTAGATTTCAAGAAAAAATTATAGCTAAGCCAGCCCTGTAATACATTTCTTCCAGTGAGCGTTGCTGCGATTTAAGATGAGAAGCAGCAAGAAAGATTTGAGCTGTCACACTTGACTTTGAGCTGCCAAGAAGAGGCATTGGAGGTTACAGGCTAAGGTTTAATTTATATTCCTCCTTTTGTTCCAGGCAGAGATGGTACGGGCTGCTTTCCAAGCGCAAAGATCTTTCCTGGTGTTAGCATCTCAGTGTCAAGAGCCCCAAGAGGTAAGAAAAGTGACCTCAAGTTTCAACAGATGGTGTATTAAAAGAGCTGTGTCCCCTTATGTTTAATATCCATCCCCGTATCTGCTGTTGTTTGTTACTTCATTTATACAGTGCGCTTAGAGGCTGGCTTGTGGTGTCACTAGCACGGTGCCGTAATCATCAGAAAGGCCTGGTTCCGAGCTAAGAACCTGTTCTGTACCCATATGTTTAAGATCACTGAAGAGACCACAAGAGGTTTCCACTAGCTGGCTGTAAGCAGGAGCAGTGCCACGGAGCAGAATGGCTTTTCGCTCGCCCCGCAGGGATGCAGTCTGACAAACTCTGAACTCAAGGGATAAGCTACTGAGAGAAAAATCAATACTGGCCCCCTAGACTCAGTATTCCACCAGCTGACGTGCAGGTTAGGCCAATTCTGGAGGCAAGGCAAAGCGTTTTGTCAAGAAGATCTAAAAAAATGAAAAAAGCCAAAACATTTTATAACAAGTTGATTTCTGTACTTATTTTAGCGGCTGCTATTTACATCCTCCCCTCACAGAACGAAAAAGCTCCGCGAAGCTGTGGAGTTGTTATGACATCTCATTTGTAGTTTCTAGAGAGCACAAGGTTTTGGCCAGTAGCACTGTGTCACTCCTCGGAATAGCGATCGTGTAGCCTTTCTGTGGGACCACCCTCGAACGTTCCTTCCTGGGCGAGTGCAGAGAATGAACACTTCACCGGCACAGTCTCTCCACAGCCTTCTTCTGTCTCTTTCCCACTAGCTCCTCACCCCATAGTTCGTTAAACTCTGTATTTTCAAATCAGAATTCTTTGCAACTGGTATAAATTAATAACATTCTGCTGTCACTATTGTTCGTAAAGACACAAAAGTTTCTCTAATCGAAATGTTTTAAAGGCAAGGGTACCCAAGGGAAAAAGACATAAGCATGGCTATACCAGACGAGACTTTAGATTTACAGAGTCCCAAGCAAGAAGGGATCAGTTGTTTTTCCAGCTGTTCCTGACCTCAGAGAGTAAAAGTGGGTCATGACTCACAGAACAGGCACAATTCCCACTGGTCCAGGCCTCGGGCAGTCATTTATATTGGCTGCAAGTACAATCGCACCCAGTGGCCCACAAAACTCTTCATGCTCAGAGGTAATATATTCCCCAACGAGCAGCTTCCGCTGGCCCGTAACGCACTGTGATGTTCTGGAGCGCTGGTGTTGTCCCAGGGCTTGTCACTAAGCGCCACGGCTCGCTGCCGGGGCCCTGTGCTGACGTGCCAGTGGCACGGATTTCTCGGCTTTTCAGGTGAGAACAGCAATGGCTTCTCCCCACTTTTATTGCCCTTAACAGCTTTCTGACCTCAAGTCAGTGAGATTCTTTTCAGTTGCAAAGTTTAGAAACCTTCATTTTAAAAAGGGCAACACAACAATAAAAAAAAAAACCAAAGAGATTTCAAAAGAGATTCTCCAGCAATCCAGAATGACAGTTACAGAAGCATTAAGAAAACCAACAAATAATAAAAATCTTGCTATAAACTTCACCAGAGCTGGCCATATGTATCCATGTGTCTTAGCTGTATATTATCAGGCCTGAATAGATTTCTGCAAGTTGTGGAAGGTGAGAAAGTATACTTGTATCATTTGACTATTCTTGAGCACCGAGGAAATGCTACATGATATGTGCGTACACTTCGTTCCAAAGTCAAAATACCAGGAATACCACAGACTAAAGCTTCTTTCTCAGTGAGAACAGAGCCAGTCCAGTCACTGAGGGGTTTTTAACATAAAGATTCTTCAGTGCACATTTTTATAGGCATCCAAACACGAGTTGTTGTTCATCCTTTTTCTCTTTTTGGCATATATTTTTGTCACAGATACATTCAGCAATACTTGAGACAGACTTGAAAATAACGGAAGGCTGCCTGTTCCGGGCAGCTTGCACAGTGTTTTTCACTGCAGGGAGTGATGGTTCCAGGCGCTCAGCTTTTTGTGCCTCCATCTCAGCGAGAGAAAATACCCTATTTTAAAGCCAGGCCAGTTACCCGTTTTGAAAAAGCTGGTTAACACCGACTAATGCCGGAGGAGGAAAGAAGCAGGGATCCTCCCCCGCCCCGCACCCCGGTACCTTATCGATGTGATGTCAGCTGGGCTCTGGTTGTATTTATAGCCTAGAGCCACAGAGTCAGGGTGGAATCCAAACAGGAAAGCTGATCGTTAGAGTATCAGAATGCACAGAGCAGAGAAAAGCAAATGAAGATGACAGCATATCTCTAAATGCGAGAGAAAAGAGAGTAATTCTGTCATTCAGCTGTCTAGACTGTTTGCTTTATAATGTAAAGCTGTGCCTGAGCCAGCGAGCTGCGATCATGGCATAGTAGCTTTGCAGACATTCAGAGACAGTGGCGTGGAGACTGAGGGGATTTACTGAGTTCCTGTTCATGTTGGGCTGTCATACATGGTGCCTTTAAAAAAAAAAAGAGGAGGGGAGAATGCCCTGGAAAAATAAATTAGCTCAGCTCTTGCAGCTTACAAACTCATGAATAAGGAATTCAAACAAAAAGAAAGCTCCTGTAGGTATGATAAGCCTTCGATTTTTTGGTGCTCAGCAGAGAGAAACATACACAGTGCAAAAGGCAAGATTTTTTTCCCCTCTCTGAAAATGTTGAAGCCCTCGTATTCATTTAGCTCTTTAACTGCTGCTGGGAGTCACGAACAAACACTTTCAAACAGCTACGCTTGCTGAAGTTGCTTTTGCGGGGCTTTGCTTCACGTGAATAATGTTGATATTTTTTCACTTGCAATCTGTGGCAGTGCACAGCCTTTATTATCTGTGTATGTGAAAATAGCAGGAGCCGAGAAGGTAATTCCAGCTGGCATGCCGACCAACTGCAATAAATGACTTTGCAGAGAGCATGTTCTGTTACTTTTTATGGTCATGTTCTATATTTGTATGAGCGGTGGAAGAGATCACATGGCAGAACCACCGGTTGAGATCCCTGTTTGTGTACGTCCCAGCTAATGGCTGCTGGATACAGGCTCATTCAGCAAGATGGGATTCTTTAGTTCATCCACTTAATTAAAATGATTTTCTGACGCCAAACTTCAAACATTAAAGCAAAAAACATCTATTATAAATTGTTTACTGGATAAGGGATAGCAAAGAGAAGACAGAGAGGGGAAAGTAAATTAGAAAGTTGCTATATTCTGTGAGAAGTTGTTTAAAAATGTATTTTGAGACCATACATGTACATGTGGCTTGCGTAATTCAGAAGATACAAGTTGACATAAAACTTCACAAAATATTGTGAAATGGTTTAGATCTGAATCTTCTATTCCCCATAGTCTGAGCCAAATGCGGTTCTGATTGAAACATTATTATTTTATTGTATAATAATTTTAGAAGTCATTAGTGTTCCTGAGCAAGTTTCTCTGTTTTAACTTTTTTTTTTTTGATTTACGATCATGAATACTATTGTATGAGATCACAGCTCAAAGCCACTTCTCAAATTCTTTGTGAATGGTAACTTAGATGGTGTCTTCTCTTTAGGAGTTGTTTCATTTCACTTAAAGAGTTCAAACAATTTTAAGAGTTGCTTTGAGGGCATACTGGGCACTAATTAGTGAGGTAAGTTTTTCTGTGAATCAAGATAAACATACACAGGATGAGCACAGTCATGGCAAGAAGTACTACAAACAGCTCTAAATGACAGATGCAGTTCAGATTATACATGATTACGTAATTTCTCATTAAAAAAAAAAATGCTGAGTTCATGTGACTGCCAGAGCTCACGGATTTAATTACTAACATTGTGCAGACAAACATTCCAGTTGAATATCTAGCTTAAATATCCAGATTGTACACACAGATGGGAGGAGAGGCGTGGAAGGAAGTGAGAGGTGAAGGAGTCAAACTTAAGAAACTGTGTTTGAAGTTAGACTTGGAACCATGAGAACAAATCCTAACGTTTTTAATTCTTTATAGTCAAGCAAAAAATGTATTGTAGGAACAGAATAGTTGTGGCAATTCCTTTGAACAGAAGGCTCGTTCTCAGAAATTTTATGTAGAAATCAAAGATGGAGCTTTACAGTTCCCTGCTCTCTGTCAGCGTAGGATTGCTCCCTTTTTTCTCACTTCTATTTTTGAAGTACTTCAGTAGCAGGACTCCTGGGACTTATTCTGCATCCTAGCTGGACTTGTTTTACAATTACCTTGACTTGCTTATATCATTCCATTTCCCACTACTTTTCCTCATGCTTACTGGGATCATTCTTACCCTGTTCCAAAAATATGAAGAGCAGGATACTCCTCATCTTGCTAATTTGTTACTTACTTATGCAGAAGAGTTTGAGCCAGGTTCTGTTGCCATTCTGCTCCGTTGCCCACTGCAAACCTGCAGCTCTGTATCTAGAAATAGCTTCAGGAAGAATTTGGTTCAGTCCTTTTAAGGCCCTCAGGTCGCAATCTTACAGAAGGTGCCGAGAGTGACATGGACAGAGCCTGAGAGTCCTCTGCTCCAAAGGGAAGCCCTTCCCCGCTCCGGTTCTCTGAAATCTTGCCAAACTGTTGACATATTTCTGTTATCAGCAAGACTGCATGCGACACGTGGTCACAGCCGTGGTGATGGACCAACTGACAGTTTTTAGTTGCTCCCTTGCTGCCCTACAGTGTTTACAGGCTCATTTTTGGATATCACTCCAAACTCTTACTCGGTTTCAGGTCCACTTTAATCCTCAGTTACTGCTTCATTGTAAACGTGTTGCCAGTCTCTAGACAGCCCTCTGACACCTGTTACCTCTTAGTTTTGTCTCAAAGGCACTCGACTGCATGTCACCAGCCTCAAGCTCATTATATTTTTTGATCACAGAGTCATAGAATCATTTAGGTTGGACAAGACCTTTAAGATCACTGAGTCCAACCCTTAACCCAGCACTGCCAGGTCCATCACTAACCCGTGTCCCTGAGCACCTCATCTACACGTGTTAAATCCCTCCAGGGACAGTGACTCCACCACTTAC